CCCCAAAACCCCAAAACCCCAAAACCCCAAAACCCCTTTTCAGTTGTACTTTATGGAAAATAATATTCTTCCAATGGTGCAAGCTTGGAGTATTGGAAAGAAATTCCAAACTAAGCCAAAATCAGTAAGTCCTGGGCCAGGGCAATATACAAGTAGGAACACTACAGTAACTAAAATGAAATCCCCTCAATGGACTATTGGAACTTCGAAAAGAAGCAATTTAAATAATCACAAAACATTCAGTCCTGGTCCAGGGAACTATAAAACAATAAAAGATATTAATGATGCTCCAAAATATCACTTTGGTGGTAAATCAGTAACTGATCTGGATAAATTCAAAAAGAGTGTCCCTGGCCCTGGCCAATACAATCCTGCATCTAATTCCTTTAGCAAGACTGCCTTTAGTTTTTCTGGAAGGCATAATATTCAGAGTAAAGGAGTCATAAATAATCCTGGCCCAGGAACTTATCAAAATAAAAGCACACTTACAAAGACTTTAGGAAAATTCGGTACTTCACAGAAGGGAGTTCCTCTTGCTTCAAAATTAGTAATGAGTAATCCTGGTCCTGGTCAGTATGCTGCTTCATCACCTGATGTCAATAAGAAATCTGCTCCGAGGTATGGATTCGGATCATCAAGAAGAGGAAATAACTCAACTACTCAGCTGGCTAAGATTGTACCTGGTCCAGGCCAATATTCAAACATTAAAAATTTAGGACATCAGGCTCCTAAATTCTCATTGACTGCAAGAAGACCAGATACAACTCCTGCAGTTGGAAGACACTCTCCTGGACCTGGAAATTATAATCCTTCTGACACTTTTTCTAGAAACAAATCTCCTCATTGCAAATTTGGAAGTTCTGAAAGGAAGGATGCGAGAAGAGATGAAAGTCCAGGGCCAGATTCATACTCTGCAACAGTGCTTGATTCAAGGAAGAAAAGTAGCCCAAGCTTTGGCTTTGGAAGTTCTAAAAGGCCTGCCCTTTCTCAGTCAGGATTTACCCCGGGCCCAGGGAATTATTCTCATACATCAAAAATTTTAGAAAAGAGTGCTTATTACATGGGCTCAAAGCTGAAAGAAAGAGCTAAGGAAAATACACCAGGGCCAGGGAACTACAACCCAGATCATAAGTTAAGCAAGGAGTCTACCCCATTTTGTAAAATTGGTTCTTCTCAAAGAAGCACAGGAAACAAGGGTCAAGAATTAGTGCCTGGGCCTGGAACTTATAGATACTACAATCCCTCTTTAGACAAAGGGCCTCATGTTAAAATTGGAAGTGAAAGGAGAGGCCAGAAAATTACTTCAGACACTCCTGGACCTGGTGCTTACAAGATTCCTGTAAAGATAATTGATGTGCCTCGCTATCTGATTCCAAACCCTGAAGAGAAGTACAAATTTGTCTAGAATAATTCAAATAAACCTCTTCAGAAGGGGTTTTGGGGTTTTGGGGTTTTGGGGTTTTGGGG